TAAATAACCCCTTAAAACATAACTGGTGTGGGATTGATTCGTTAATACTGTTGTGTAAATTTAGAAGGTTCTAGGACTCAGAAATCCCTGCGCACCCCTCCCCTCCAAGGCTTCATAGACACCCACTGCACTAGCTCAGAGGGTAGCTGCCTTGCAAACCCAGCCTGACATTGCAGAATCGCTGTGCCCTAGGCTAGTTGGATGCTCTCCATTGCAAAGGACGGACCTCTAACATGAACAGAAACAGGGAGCACAGACCTTAAGAACCAGTAATTCCCGGCACTTACATCCTGAGGCCCAGGGTGGGGCAGCTGCTTGTGGTCTTGCACTTGTGTCAAAACTGAAGCAGAGACCCATGAAGTTCACTAGAACTGTAAGGAAACACTGTGGTCCCTGTTGCTGGTCCACTCACACGGGCTTGCTAAAGGCACTCCAGCCCCTACTCTGTGCCTGGGTCTGTTACCACTGGGATGGCAGAGAGAAATGCCTTGGCTCCAGCTACCTCACTGAGCACGGATCCTGAGGAAGTGGAGGGCCGGTCATGGTGCCTCAGGCTCCTCAGGTCGATTGGAACTCGCACTGCAAACAGACTTTTCCAGAAGCAGTGTGTGTGTGAAAACCATCTGATCGAGGCTGCTGCTCCCACTGTGGTGCTGCCTCATCCTGAGCACCCATTCCTGTGTCACAGCTCCCTGAACCCACTACAGTCCCCAGAGACCATGAGTATGTTTTGCAGTAGCTAGCAGGCCCTCTCTGGTATACACCATCCCCAAAGCCTCCCCTTCCAGTTAAAGCAGCTATGGGGAGGATGCTGTGGTGCTCAATGGAAAAAAAGCTAATGCCGCGCAGTAAACTGATGCTGCTGGGCTCGTCTTGCGGAGCAGAGCGCTCACTACGAAGACTACCCCATACGTTAATGGGGCACACTGACCTACCAGATGTGGACGTCTCAGTGTGGGAGCACAAGAGATGTCCTGCAAAAGACATAGCAATCCATCGGCCCCAGAGACCCCCGGGATCAAATGAGCATGTGAGAAAGCACAGTGAGAGCCGTGAGGTGACAGAGAGTTAAGTGAAAATCTGTTTGAGAGAGTGCTTGACTCATAGGTGAACAAGAGATAGCATCATGAGGGCACGTGGAAGCATCGACCCGATCAGAGCCAGCAAACGAAAGGAAAATGAAGACTAACCAGTCTTCATCAGGTAACAGTACACCATCAATAAAACAAAATGACAATGAATGTTCAAGACAATTACAAGGAATGAACAGGAGTCTTTACTTCCATTAATAATCTTAGATGTAAACAGACTAAATTCTCCATTTAAGCAATATAGAGCTGACCAACAGAATTAGAAAACAAGACCAAACAATATTCTGCCTGGAACGTATAAGAAACTTAAGCCATCAATCGTCAAGCCACAGGCGTGAGGGAAAAGGTGTGGATGTGATGTTTAAAGTAAATGAAAACTTCAAGCAAGCAGAAGCTGCTGTCTGGGTGACGGAAATCAGTGGATAAGCGCCAGCCCAGGTTTTATGGCTTTTCCAGAGGCGGATGATGGTGGTCTTGTGACCTAGAAGCAGCAGTCTAACTTAACACAAACCACCAGGCATAGTGACTGAAGGGACCCACGTACTGCGTGGGGTTCCCCTCTGGACTCCAGAATTAGGCATGGACCACACAGAAACACAATTTCCAAGCACCAACAAACCCAAAGAGATCTTTATTAAGCAAGGCAAAGACACTGGTGGCTGACTCTGAACTGGGCAGAAACAGCAGCAAATGGCTTAGGGAAGTCTGTGTTAGAATGAGCTAGGGCGTGTCGGTAAGTTCTGATTGGGTATTTTAATTAGGTTAGTCAAATAATAAATTTTGATGGCTGGGCCTTGATGTTTTGATAGTTGGACCTTGGTAATCAGTCTCAGGAATGAGTCATGCATGACAAAAATGACCAAATAAGGAACTAGACCTTGGTGGCTAGCTTTAGGAATGTAAGCTAATGGCTTAGCAAGGCAGAGGGAAAGAGGCTCAGGGCCGCTAAAGCCTTTCAGCGACAGAACTGCTGGGGTTATAAAAAGGAGTGAAGTCATCTTCCCTCTGGGTTGTCACCCAGCCAGGTAAGCAAACATGGAAAATTACTTCTGAGACCAATCCTATCCAAGTTAAGAGCACCATAAGCGAGCAATACGTTAGCTCAGATAAATTATGTCATTAAGCTATAAGATCCTCAAGAGTATTCAATACATACTGGATGAGTAAATATGCCCTCACCATTCCCTCTCCAACATGACATGGGTCAAAGTCAAATGAGCCTATCAGTGGTACAGTTCCGGGTATGAGCTAGTATCACAGAGTATGACCCCATTCAGGAACTCAGTGGGGGCCAGAGGCTCAGTAAGAAAACGCTTGCTGTGTAAACACGAGGGCCTGAATCTGATCTCCAGCACCCATGTAAGAACGCTGAAGGCAGTGGGACCCTGACAGCCCTGGCACCAGGGAGGCAGAGCTGGGTGGATCTTTTGAGGTTGGCTGGATAACCGCTGTCGCCTGCTTGGCAAGTGACAGGCCAGTGAGGGTCCCTGTCTCAAAAACTAAGGAGGCAGCATCCTGAGGAATAATGCCTGAAGTTGGTTTGTGCCCTCCACATGCGTGCATGCACACACAGATATGTCCACACATACCACAAACATACCTACATACATGAACACACACACAAACACTGTTTTAACTAAAAAGAACGTAAATGTTTGTGAACCTAATGAAATAATTTTAACTTATTTTTTTATTTCGGTTTTTCAAGACAAGGTTTCTTTGTGTAACAACAGTCCTAGCTATTCTGGCACTTGCTTTGTCGACCAGATTGGCCTCGAACTCACAGAGATCTGCCTGACTCTGCCTCCCGGGTGCTGGGATTAAAGGTGTGTGCCACTGTGGGAAACTTTTTGCTATCTTCTAAATTCCCAGCCTAAGAACTGATTATTCAGATTTATTGGCCTTCTGATGCTACTAGCAGTCCCTTTTTCTAGCTAATTGCTAAAGACATCTGTTTCCTTGCAATTAGTGACTTTCGCTGTAATCTCCTCTGAAACATTTTTCATGATAGCCGCCTAGTTACCCATTGACCTAAGAACCCACTCCTTTTTTTCACATTGCCCTATATCTACCCTGTTTATTCCCCTAATAAACAAGACTTGATCAGAATCCTGTCTTGTCTCCATCTTTTGTGTCTCTTGTCCCTTTTAATTCTCATTCCTTCCCCCACCCTTTAGGGTCTCCGTTGACTAACCCATGGGCTGGGGCACACCACCACCGCTAATTATAACTTTTAAAACTGAATAGTAAACTTCTAAGTTAAAGGGTGGCACAAACCTGTATAAATACACAAAAGAGTTATTGAACCGTACACACTTTATGGACATGAATTTTGTGAATTGTAAGTTATCTCTGAAGGGATTAGCTAAACAGACTCACAAGGAAACTTTTCCAGGCCCTCTGAATGATTCTTGCAGCCTGTTCCCACTTTGGAAGGTCTGGGGGCAATTTGCTAGGCATCTTGAAGTCCTAAAAGAAAAATAAGCAAAATGGGAACCTTGAAATAATTATATATGTTCCGCTGTGAAGCAGGGACCCAGTGGAATTTAAATAAAGTTGTCTAAAGGAAACAATGAAGTAAGATTTGGTATTTAAATTATATTCTTAATATATTACACCTGGCTTTCTAACAAGTGCCTTCCTTGTATAAGAGATTTTTAATTTTTTAAAAAATATTTATTTATTTATTTGTTATGTATACAATATTCTGTCTGTGTGTATGTCTGTAGGTCAGAATAGGGCACCAGACCTCATTACAGATGGTTGTGAGCCACCATGTGGTTGCCGGGAATTGAACTCAGGACCTTTGGAAGAGCAGGTAATGCTCTTAACCACTGAGCCATCTCTCCAGCCCATAAGAGATTTTTAAAAAGATGAATATTTGTGTGTGCAAGTGCCCACAGATGCTGGGAGGAGCCACCAGCCACCACTTCTCTTGGCACTAGAGTCACAGGCTTTTGAGAGCCACAAATGTTGGTGCTGGGATCTGAACTCTGGTCCTCTGGTGAAGCAGTGGACACTCTGCTTGACTAATAAAGCCATCTCTTCATTCCCTGCAGAGGGTTTAATATGCCTGTGCTGGGATAAATCTCAAGATTTAAGGTCAAATAGTAAATAACTAGTCAGAGTTGAGCTCAGTCTGGGTCTCTAAAGCCTGTGATCTTTATCTACTTTGTTGTAAGACTTGAACGTAACCAGCATTCATAGAGAAACAGCTGTAGCCACAAGGTTACCCAAGCCCCTAACCTAGAACTGGGGATTGGTTATAGATTTCTTATCCACACGGTCTACTTTATATCGATCATGCATTACGTCTTTAGAAAGATGAAGTTTGCACTATTAATGAGCAAAACAAAATCACTACTTGTACTTCACAGATTTTATTTTAACTGTCAAGAGTATTGGAGAGATCAGAGAGATCCTGCTCCCTATCCCTGTTACAGCTTCTGACGGCTGTGTCGGGAGGGAATGGATGGCAAGCCGTGCTAATCTGAGGGTGTTCTGTGGACTCACGCTGGACTCAATTCCTATGTTAGCATATGCGATTACATCCTTCAAAAAGTTGAGCGACTGGGGAGAGGGTTTGGTGGGTAACTTCTTGCTCCACAAGCGTGAAGATCCAAGTTTAGATGCTTAGCATCCATATAAAAGGCAGGAAGTTACGGCCGTCTGTAGCCCCAGCCCTCCAGAGCACAGTGGGGCAGAGACTGGAGGATCCCAAGTGACTCACTGGCAAGCTGGTCGAGATAACATGGTGAGCTCCAGGCTCACCAAGGCTGTCTCAACAAATCCATAAGTAGGGACTGGAGAGATGGCTCAGTGGTGAAGAGCATCTGCTGCTCTTTGAGAGGACCCGAGTTCGGTTCCCAGCACCCATGTCAGGTGGATCACAACTGCGTGTAATTCCTGACCAGGGAATCTGATGCCTCTGGCCTCTGTGTGCACCTGTACTTTCGTCCACATATCCACATTCACACACACATACACACACACACACACACACACACACACACAAGAGTAGATACCTTTATAGCCATTTTACATTGCTGTAGCATGCAAACATATAATCAGTGGGCTTAGTTTTCCCCTTTTCCTAACAATTTTAATGACTATTAAACATGATCTGAATTACACTTTTAAAGTATTGCTCTGAAAGAGTACAAAAGAAACATAAAAAGTCCTAAACTATCATTGTTGCTTAGCCACGCATCAAGGCAGTCATAAGAAATTAGACTTATAAATCAGTCCTCAGAACCTAAGACTCTTAGTTATGCTATTACAGCTCCTTATTACAGTATTTTTGAGGGGGTGTACTCTCGTCCAGCATTTTTTAAGAGTGGCACTCCTGATTCTTCACGCTGCATTATTTTCCTGTGAGTGGTGGCAGGGAGTGCAAGGCACAGCGCTGAGTAGAATCCCCTCCTCTGCCTACCACACACAACAGCACACTGCGACAACCAATGCTGTCTCCAAAGGGCCGGGGAGAGGGTTCAGCGGGTAAAGACACTTACCATCTACCTGATGACCCAAGCTTGATCCCCATAAAGGCAGAAGGAGAGCTGCCCTCTGACTTCTACACAGGTGCCACGGCACAGGTGCTTACACACAGATACACAAAGGTAAAGTTTAAAAACCGTCTCCAGCAATTGCTGCACTTGAAGAACTGTAGTCTATTGAACCAGCATGGTGAGAAGAGGGAGGGCTGGGGTTGCAGCTCAGTAGCAGAGTGCTCACCTGGCTCCCACAGTTCAATCCAGGCTGCTTCCAAAATAGTAACAATAACAACAGCAATAACAGTAACAACAATGATAAAGGAGAAACTAGTGATAAAACATTGCCTAGTTTCTCTCAAATCCTGAGGCTGTGAGATTAACCATAGAAATATTTACATCATGAAAGTTGTCTAACATTTTAAATCAGTACTTAATGTTTTTTTTTTTCTGGTTGACTTGAGATGTAAGGATAACATGGTGATGTGTTAATAATGCAGATTAAAGGTTTAGTGTGTGTAATCATTCCATCATGAACAGCGCAATGATGCAGCTGTGATCCCGAGGAACAAGGACACGTCAAGACAAAACAATTACATGCTCAGTTGTCCTAAATATTGCTAATGTACTAAATGGTGGGCCAGGTCAATGAGCTTGAGTAAAGTCAGGAGTCATTTGTTTTGAGAGAGAAAGAGAGAGAGAGAGAGAGAGAGAGCCAGAATTTCACCATGTAACCCAAGATGTCCCAAAACTCACAGCCTCAGTTTCCTGAATGCTGTACAGGCAGTGGGGTACAGAGGGAAAGGCAGAGGTGGGTAGAGGAACTGGGCAAGTAGAGACAACCCTGGAGCTGTGCAGAAGCAGGGACACAGTAGCTGCAAGAGGGAGCTGGATTCTATAGGGCGTTTCTTTCTTAAACATGATGCACTAAAATATGTGAAAATATTGCTGGAGGAGAAATTAAAGGCGCAAGAGAGGGTAGAGGAAATGAAAAATTCTTTGATTAACGGGACAAAGGCTTCAAACTAATCAAGTGAAAATACCGTTTTTAAGACTCAAGAAGTATTTGTAAACCACCCGTCAAGTCGTGACTTCGCTAGACCCCGGTGCACACGGATGATTCCGAGGCCAGCAAGCCAATTCCAAGTCAACATCCTCGTCATGTGATTCAGAGGTAGGCCTGCAAGCCAACCTCAACTCAATACCCTTGTCATGTGATTCAAAGGTAGGCATGCAAGCCGATCTCAAATCAATTCCTTTGCCATGTGTAGTTTCGACGCAGAACCTGTATTCCCATCTTCTTTACTAAATTGTATTTTCTCAAGAAATGTGCCATGATTTTGTTTTTTCTCTTGACCTGTAGACCCTTATACTGAGAGTCAAGACAGACATTAAAAGACGCCCTATTCATGTACCCCTTTGAATGCTCCCTCCTCTCTAAACATTTTAGAGCGAAAGCCTAAAGTCATGTACTACATTGAATAGGGTGTGGGGAGGAATCCGGAGGTGAGAAGTGAATTAGTAATGTCCTCAAGGCTGCAGGCCCGGGATTAGGGAAGGGCTGGAGAAGGGGTTGGTGAGCTAGAGGAAAGCTTTTCCACCAGCCCAGAGCAACTGCGGACAGAGCATCTCTACCGGGATGAATGGGAGCGTGCTAAGGGTGTTTAGGGACCTGCAACAGGCCAAGTTCCGACCAGACACGAGAGCAGAAAGGAGCCGGGGAGGGGACGCGTCCCTTGACTTGCCAATCTCTGTGGCCTCGCTCTCTGTTTGTTTCCTTGGTAACGACGCAGTGGGAAATGACTTAATAGCTCCTTCCATAGCAACCTTCTTAGGCCCCGCCCACAACCAGTTCTGGTTTGTTCTGATAGAAGTACTCTCTCTCTTCCATTCTCCCTGCCATAGAGGCAAAGGACTTAGAAAGGAACTCAGAGGGATCGCCTGTATGTGACATGAGGCCACAGTCTAATGTTTCCAAATTTAAGCTCCTTAACGTGATTCAGGTTTTAAGTAAAAATAGAAGACTTCACAGAAGCGGAAATCTTACTGCATATTTAATGCACGCTTTATTTGCTTGAATGCCGAATATCCCACATATGGACATTACCTCAGTGTCAGAGTGTAACGACGTAAGGTGAGGCGTATTTCGGCCTGCCCAGCTCTTCTATGTTCCTTCAGTGCTTTTGCATAGAACATACTTTGTGAGGAAGATGATCTTGTAGGAAAATACTTTTTTAGATACTAAACACATTCGTACAGAGGGGGAAAAAAAAACCCTGTAGAGAATTCAGTGACAAAGTGAGCTTCAGAGTCCTTCAAAATCATTAATAAGTAGCTGTCATTAATACACAATATTAATATAGAGCTATTGTCATGTATTAACACACAGACATGAGCAAAATTTAATACTTGTGTCTTTTAATCTAGTACAAACCGAGTTCAAATTTTTATATTAAATAAAATTAAGCTACAAATTTTAAGTCAAGGTCAAGGCCCTTGCCAGGTCTGATTAGAATTTCTCTAACCCCATCTTAAGAGGCCAATGACATAAATTTCTGTTTTGTGGAACAGTTTAATTTTGTTAACTGAAGAACTGTGAGATATTGGCAGGTGCGTCCTTGCTAACTGCTCTTTAAAAAAGACAGAAGAAAACACGAAATGCTTATGCTTACAGTTCCTGGTGCTTAGCATAGCCCCACTATGGGTAGTTTTAAAGAAACCGCTCTTCTCTAAAAGAAAATGGCTCAGAAAGTCCGCAGGAGAACCGGAAGCGAGGGCCCTGGACATCTCTGACCCCGAACTCTATTCTTGGCGAGGTTCCTTTTGCAGCTTGCTGTTTCTTGGCCGCTCTGCTTGGTTTGCTTGATAAACAGAGCCCCCCAAGGATGGAGAGAAATCCTGGAAACTCCTCTCCAGAATACATGGTTTGTGTGTATTAAGTTGACGGTGCTTGAAAAACAGCGGAACGGCGCTGGATTACTCTATGGCCCCGTTGATTTTAAGTGAGAGCTTCCAGAAAGACTCAAGTGTTGTCAGTCCTCTCAAGATGAGCTCAACCACACAAGCCAAACAACACAACAACGGAGAGGGAAGCAGAGCTACTGCCACCCCTGTCAGCCGAGGTTCAGCCTGGCGGGATCCTTAGCTCTGTGGTGGGCGGGACCTCCAGACCCCGAGGGTGCAGGCTGTCTGGCCTCTCCTCCCACCCCCCCACCAGCGAGTGGCATCTATGAGACCCAACATATGCACTCTTCCTCTTCTTCCAGTCTGGCTCAGGACCAGATTAAGGGCAGAGGTAGATGGGGGACGGGAAGGGGTGGCCAAGGTGGCAGTGAGGTGGCTTGGGATCCTGAAGAGGGCATGCTGACTCCTTGTGGGAGAAAAGGCACCTCTAAATAGGGAACCTAGGTTTGTTTCTCCCTCCCCCCAGAGACCTGTGGGAGAGGTGAAATGGGCTGAAGGAAGCGGTATGGTGAAAATCCCAATTCTGGTTCCCAACCCCCACCACCTGTGGGAAAACTAAGGCATCATGGAGCAGAGCCCTAAGTCTGAAACCTGTCTGAGGGAGCCTCATCCCTTCCCACTCAGCTCCCCCCCACAAGCCCAGATCAATGTCCCTCCCATTGGCCCCCTCTACCCCGTGGGGGGGAGGGAATGACTGTTAGAGGGACCTCAGGCTTGGAGCCCAAGTCTACCTCCTTGTGCAGTTTATGAGTAAACCTCTCATCGTAGCTGCCTTTGCTCTTCAACAACTGCTGGTGGTGAAGTCGCACGCCTTTAATCCAGCACCTGGGAGGCAGAGGCAGGGGGATCTCTGTGAGCTCAAAGACAGCCTGCTCTACAGAGCGAGTTCCCGCACAGCTAGGACCATTACACAGAGAAACCTGGTCTCGGGGAAAAAAAAAGAGAGAAGAGGAAGGAGGAGGAGGAGGAGGAAGAGGAGGAGGAGGAGGAGGAGGAAGAGGAGGAGGAGGAGGAGGAGGAGGAAGAGGAAGAGGAGGAGGAGGAGAGGGAAGAAGGAAGGAAGGAGGAAGGAAAGAAAGGAAGGGAGAGAAAGAGAGAGAGAGAGAGAGGGGGGGGGGGAGGGAGGGAGGGAGGAAGGAAGGAAGAAAGAAGAAAGAAAGAAAGAAAGAAAGAAAGAAAGAAAGAAAGAAAGAAAGAAAAAGAAAGAAAAGTGTAAAATTTACCACGCAGTGCATCCTAACTGCTCAGGCTGGGTTTGGTGTGGTGATGCTTGCGCCAGAAGCAAGAGAGGTGGAAAGTGAGCTTGTCCGCCACCAGCTAACGGATTTGGAGCACTGCACCTGCTACTACCGCCAGCTTTGTGAGAGGGGCAGCCTGGACAGCTCTGGCAGCCCAGAACTTGAACCTTCAAAGGAGTTTGGCCATCTGGGTGGAGATGCACTGCAAGAAGTGTTTGGTGGGGGAACATCAGTCAGTGAAACTCCACGAACTGTCCCCACCCCGCAGTCTGGGATGACTTTAGGCAGGGGGTTTGGGGGGCTGTGGCTAGGATGTCCCCTAGGTCATTCACAGTACAGATTTTTAAAAACAAATCTCATCAAAGTCTGGGATCACAATACCTCAGTTGTAGAACATTTGTCTAGAAAGCCATGGACCCCCCTACACCCCCCGCCCCCACACAGCTCTCCCACTAAAGCAAACAGCCAAACTCAGATACTCAGAACACAAATCAAAGAAACTAGAATCTGAACTTTCTCACAATGCCCAGACTCGGATAGGAAACAGTGGGTACTGTGGACCTGGTGGAGAATTTACGTGAGGTCCCTCAGGGCCAGTGCACCTTCTCTTCAGACGCTCACGACTAGACCAAAATAGCTAACATTTTCTAGAACAATAAAGTCAGCAGGGTTTACTCAATCCAAGCAGAAAACCCAACAAAACTATTCAGGAGTCAGTAATCGACCTGGGCTGAAGGGTGTTCTGAGAACTTCAATCAGCCTTTGCCCATCGGCATTTATAAGAAACAGAAATGGGGCCTCAAAACTAACTTAATTACCTCAACCTAGTTAGCCAGTCGGTTGTTACAGCTCGTTTGCCCGCTAATTGGCTGTAGGGAGTTTTGCAGCAAGCTCAAAGTCAGGTACTAAGTACCACCGGTTTCTGGGCTCCTCTGGCTCGCTGGGCCAAGGGCAGGCATCCAAATCCAAGGGCTCCCTTTAGTAACAGAAATTCCACAGCGCCAGTAAAAACAGAATATTTATAACATTTCTCCTTTTGCGGGGCTCCATGCCAACTCCAGTCTAATTCCGTGGACTCCTTGGTGAATTGCCCCCAAATGTTAAAGACCTGGTGCAGTGGACAGACAATTGTCCGTGGAAGGTTTTTGTTTGTTTGTTTGTTTGTTAAGCTTCTACCCCAGGGCCACCTGTCTGTAGGCTCTCATTATACTCCTACTAGAGACGTGGACACAGCTTTCACGTTTCTCAAGGGAGCTCATTTTCTTTTCTTGTCTCCTAGCCGTTTACAATGAAGTGAATCCTTGGAAACCATGTGTGTCAGTTACTTTGCTGTTGATGGCAAGATGGCAGAACAAGCAACTTGAGGGAAAAAGAGTTATTTCTGGCTTATGGTTCCAGAGGCCATTGAGGAAAGGAAAGGGTGGTACTGCCCGCAGGAGTGCAAGGCTGACTGACTGCAATGTTTAACTCCGCCCAGGAAGTGCAGCCAGAGCAGGAAGCAGGGCAGGCTGTCTAACCCCTCAGAGCACCTCCCTGCAATGGTCCTCCTCTATCAAGCCTGTCGGTCCTAAACCGGTGGTTCTCAAACTGTGGTTCGACCCCTTTGGGGGCTGGAGTGACCCTTTCACAGCTGTCGCCTAAGTCCATCCTGCACGTCGATGTTTACATCACAATTTGAAAAGTGCAAAGTAAGTTATGAAGTAGCAACAAAAATAATGCTTATGATTGGGAGGTCACCACAACATAATTGATGTCGTCTAGTGACGTCTGTATTAAAGGGTCACAGAGTTAGGAAGGTTCAGAACCAGTGGCCTGAAGGTTCCATAACTTCCACAGACAACTCCACAAACCGGGACCAAGTGTTCAAACACTCCTTTGCAAAACTATGCTGCTTAGCTCTTTGTCAACAAGCTGGGGTCATCTGGGAAAGAGGAACCTCAACTGGGAAAATATCTCCATCAGATCAGTGTGTTGGGGAATCTGTGGGTTCATTTTCTTGTTTTCTTTACTAACATTGGTGGAAGAGGAGTCAGGAGAGCACAAGGAAGCAGGAGGGGCAGGAGGATTAACACTGAGTATAATGACATATATGTAGGAGAAAAGCACAATGAAACCCACTACTTTGTATATTAACTTTAAAAATTAGTATTTAAAATATAGTGGCATGAAGCCTATTTTTTTTTCCTATTTCTGCAGAATAGAATTCAGACAGAGTGACCACGGCAGCAGTTTTAGTTCGGTTATTCAGGAGGACATAAGTTAGACTCATCTAAATGGCTCAGGGGTTAGGAGCACAGGCTGCCCCTGTAGAGGACCCAGGTTCAGTTGCCAGCATCCATGTGGCAGTCATAAGCATCTGTAACTCCAGCCCTGAGGGAATCCAACTCTCTTCTGGGCTCTCTGGGCACCAGACACGCATGTGGGGCACTAACATACAGGCAAGCAAAACTTCATACACAGAAATCATTAAATAAAATCTTTAGAAATTCAGGTTAGACTAACTGTCATAGACACACCAGGGAGAAGGTGGTGATAACTTTTCTTAAAACAAAGCACATGGTTTTCAATTTTTAATTAAGAAAATTTGCTTTATTTAAAAAGAATATATAATAAAACCACATGACAAAGTTCTAGACATTGGTTTTTAATATGGCATCATGGAAAGCATTAATAACATTTTCTTTTCTTTCTTATATCCTCTGTGGACTTATTCTTTTACCATGTTGACATTTTTATTTTACAACTTGATTTATATCCATAGTTAAAAACAATTTAAATATTATAAAAAGGTATAAAGCAAAAAAAAATTCTCTCTTCTCCATAATTTTCCTCAACACTGGCAGTTTGTCCTTCAAACTCAACCATTTTCTTTTCATCTTTGGCAAAATGTTTTCACATACTACGTCCTGTACCTTTGGTCTTTCCTGAATTCATCATGGGAAACTCTCCATACAGCGCAGTTAAAACTGCTTTGTTCTCACCAATGGTGTATGCAGTCCTCAACACATTAGATCTCTCTAGGCAATGCATTCACTATTGATGGGTGACGGCCACTTGGAGTGTTAGAAACCACAAGCATTGGTGACAGTTTATTCAAACGAGCACAACTATATCTTTTTAAAAAATTCATTTAACTTATTTATTTTATGTGCACTGGCGTGAAGGTATCAGATCCCTTGGAAATGGAGTCACAGTCTGGTGCGGGAGAATTGTCTGTATTCTGTCAATCATATTTTAATAAAATGCTGATTGGCCAGGCAGGCAGTATAGGCGGGAAAGCCAGACAGGAAGTAGGGGTGGAGCAATGAGAACAGGAGAATTCTGGGAAGCAGGGAAGTTCCTCTCAGCCACTCCTGCGCAGATCACTGAAGAGGCAGCATATAACTTGCCCAGCTGAGAAAGGTACGGAGCCATGTGCTAATGTAGATAAGGATAATGGGGTAACATAAGTTATAAGAGTTAACAAGAAGCCTGACCTAATGGACCAATCAGTTTATAACCTTATGGAGTTCTGTGTGTAATTTCTCTTTGGGATTTGCCAGCTGTTGGGGTACCGGGCAGGACGGAAACCCCAACAAGCCGGCCCCTCATGTAACAACAGTCAGTCAGTCACGAGTCACCCTGTGGGTGCTGGGAATTGAACCTGGGTCTTCTGGAAGACCAGTCAGTGCTCTTAACTGCTGAGCCATCTCTCCAACCCCCACAGAACTATATCTTTACATCCTTACATTCCCCTCTTTTCAAAAGTTAAATATATTAAATTGTCTCCTTTCCTTCCTCCAACCTCTCTCTTAACTCTCTCTCGATTCCTGGCCTCTGAGGCCAGAACAAATTTTAATAAGAATTTCAGGATTGAAAGTGGCTCTGGGTATGTGGGTAATAGATGAGTTGGGAGGGAAAGAATCAGGCCTTAATAAGCCAGTTTCTTTCATTAAGATCTATTCAACCTAGTAAACCAAAAAGCCATGTTAAACTCATTTCAAAGGCTATGGTCAAGCTGGGGAGACGGGGGATTATCTAAATTTCATGATAGACTTGCTACAGTTTAGATGTGAAATGTCCCCTGCAGGTTCATGTCAGAGACTTTGTCTCCAGTGCAATGCTCTAAAATGAGGACTGTGGGAGCCTAATTTGTCTCAACTTCTTTTAACTGTTAGGACAGTTCATCACCAGACGACATCAATCTAAAAGACTATGTCTACGACGAACTGCCATTTACTTCCTGGACCTGGGGTTACAGAGGTAGCAAAGAGGGAGGCAACCTTTCTTTCCATAACCCATTCCCATAAAGCTCTACTCTCTATAGACAATAGAAGGCAGACTCAGATGCACCAGGTATGGCCCCAGGACAGCTTGTCCTTTAGTTCATACTACACAGGTAGGTTTTAAATAGGCAATGGGCTTGTTGATCATTTCTATGGTCTACTTAAAAATGCAAATTCCCGTGTTCCTTTTGGCCCTCGGGAGAACAGACATGACCACATGAGTTCCCTGGTTCGGAGAGCTCTGGTTTTGGAGCACACTCTGTCATGAACCGCGTTTTGGATTGATGGTGCTCTGAGGAATTAGACAGGAATTTAAGGGTATGAGGCTTAGAACTTGACCCTGTCCTAGAAGGCAGAGGCAAGTGTCAAAGTCTTTATCTTAATGGTTCAACCCACTGAAAGAGGAGGGTCTTTCTGTTCATCTGTGGATTCAGGAACCAGTACCTGCTTCTGTCCTGGGCATATTAGTGAATCCCAGGATGCTGAGGCCTCCTGAGGCTGGTGTAGCAACTTTCAAGGACTCTTTTGAAGGACAAAAAGAATCAAAGATCTCACGTTGAGAGCTGTTATTTCTTATATTCCTAGTACACAGATGATAAAGATACCCACAGAATGCCACCGTCTACATTAATAGCTGTGCTGTCTTTAAGAGGTGTGCGACCCAAACAGACTGTGACTCACCAGTTTACACTTAGAGTAGTTTCCCCTTAATTCTGCCCTAGGCCCTGGCAAAAACTTAGCTGAAAAGATTTAAACGATGCAGCATGTTCCTCCACCATCTCTATGCTACCCTTAACAGCATAAAGACTTGTTCCTTACTTATCTTGCTCCTTTGTTAGCTTCATCAGCTCTTCCTACAGGAGGCTCCCATCACGGACCATCAGAACAGCTTGCAAAAGGAGAAACTACACAGGGAGGAGAAAATAAAACCTTCCCCGAATGCTTTTCCCTTCATAACTGAACGTAAAAGTAAGTGAAGAAAAGATAGAAACAAACCAGTAAATGTGGCATCCACAGATTCCCAGGTAATTTATAAGTCTTTTTATCTATTGTGATGAAATGAGCAGTTTCATTCCAAATAAAATAAATATCCAGAGGTATTTGATAATACTGGAACTCACGATCTTCCTGCCTCAGCCTCATGGATGTGGGATTACATGCTTAGCATCTCTCTGCATTTCTTTTTGCTTTGACTTTTTGTTTGTTTTGTTTTGTTTTTGAGACAGGGTTTCTCTGTATATCTCTGGCTAATCTGGAACTCACTCTGTAGACCAGGCTAGCCTTGAACTCACGGAGATCTGCCTGCCTCTGTTTTCCAAGTGCTGGGACTAAAGGTGTGTGCCACCCACTGCCCGGTTGTTTTGGCTTTTTGATAAGATTTAACTGGGAAGTCTGGGCTGGCCAGGAAATCAACATATATCGCAGGCAGGCTTTGCAGTAAGAAATCCTCTTGCTTCCGCCTCCAGGGTGCTGGGATTAGAAGTGTGAGCCTGACCCACCAGTCCTGGCTCCGCTCTTTCACAAGTCTTAAAGATGCAGCCAGCACACAAAGGAGTGTGAAGCTGGGGCCTCGTTAAAGCTCTTCCCTCCCAGGCACCTTCCTGTGGCACCGGCAAAAGGATGTGGCATCATTCGGCTGGGGAACAAGTTCCATTCCATCACGTATCATGGGCTTGCTGGTCTGGCGCTCAGCATATTTCTAAAATACGGAAGCCATGGAAGGTTTAGTTGGGTCTTCATTCTAGTCCCACCTCCCACACATCTCCACCTTCAATCGCAAAGTTTCAGGCTCAAACCAAAGGCTGGTGAAACATCTCATAGTCTGGCAGAGAACCGTAATCTACACTTCTGTGCAAATTAGAAATGAGATGCCAAGCCAAATGCCTCTATTTGGAACAATGGGGCCAGCACGTATCCTCCATTCTAATGAGTAACTGTCTTCTTGAATTTTCATGACAGCAACTCGAGATGAGCAGCATCTCCAGACAGCGTATAGAGATGGCTGCCTCCATCCATCCCAGACGGCTGGAGTTATAACCACGCCAAAAGTGCAAAGTTAAGTTCTTTCACTCTGGCCAGAAACATCTCTATGAACCGAGTCTTTCACCGACTTCATTCTGGGTCCGCTCTGTTACGCTAATGCCCAATACTAGTAACAATATAACTAAGGGAACTTAGTTAACATGTTAGAGGTAGAAGCTCCTACCATTAAAATTAAAGCTAGGGCTGGTAAGATGGCTTAGTGGGTAAAGATGCCTGCCTCCTGGCCTTAAAACCCGAGTTCAATCCCTGGGACCTACGTGGTGGAAGGAGAGAACCGACTCCTACGGGAGTCCTCTGTCCTCTGACCTCCATAGGTGCTCCACTCCTCCTCCACCTCCCAGAGCTCACAAAATAAGTAAAATGCAATTAAAATTAAAATGTTAAAACTAGATTAGTACACAGTATGGAACCTATCTAAGGATGACAAGGCGGACGTGTGTGTGTGTGTGTGTGTGTGTGTGTGTGTGTGGCACAAGGGATGTGACTTGCCTTTATTCCACCCACAGACAAGAAGGACGGTCTCTAAAAATCAACCACCAGGGGGCGCACCCTGACAAGAGGGGAGGAGCTTCTAATTAATCTACTTCCATGGGCTCCAAGAACAGAGATTGAAAGGGTGGAGGCTACAGAGAGAGTCAGTATTGGTTCTTCCCTTCCTCAGGCTGGAGTCTCAGCTGAGCCCAAATTCTTCCCACAAGCTGCCGCTGATCCCCGCAGGAAGCATGGTACAAAGTGTCCAGGCCACAGATGTGGCCTAAAGACCCCGACCCACCAGGTTGGACTCTGAACTGACCTGCAGCACTCTGTAATAGTAACAGAAAAGTCTGGGCGGCTGGAGCAGGTCCCTAGCAGTTAACTGTCCTTCTTTCGCAATCTTCTTTGCTTCATCATCATTTTCCTAAAAGAAAAAACCGAAAATTGCTGCTGCAGCCCACAGAGAACGCAAAGTGCATGAGTGAGAGGGACAGGCGAGGCGAATGTCAACAGCACAGGGAAGCGGACTGCAATGGGCTAAGGCAAAGGAGGCCATGGGATCGTTTACTAATATCTGTTAAAGGGATAAAAGGATCGTAGGTGTGTGGACCTTACTCTGCCGGCCTCACTGGCCTCTTCTTTGCCTATTCTGGTGCTTTCCTAGCTAGCCAGGGTGAAAACCTGGGGTCCATCATCTGCCTCCCCAGCGGTGCCCTCTGCCTAAGGACAGAATGGATCGATTTTCATGTTAAAATGGCTTTTAAAAGCTTCAGTGCTCAGGAGCGGGCTGGGCAGTTAAATGTGCGCACTGCTCTTGTAGAGGACCCAAGTTCTGTTCCCAGCACCCACCTTGGTGGGTGGTTCTCAACTCCAGCTCCTGGGGATCCGAGGTCTGAGGCCTTTGAGGGCATCTTCACCCAAGTGTACAGACCTCTACACTGAAACGTGTGTAAAATTAAAAATAATAAAAATGTGGTTTTCATAAAGCTTCATTCAAATATGCAGAGACAATGTTCTGTTACAAAGCGGTAGCCACAAAAGACTAAAATGCCATTGTGATAAAAGCTATCTGCCCACTAGTTCTCACGGGCTACAGTGCCAGGGATAATCAGTGCTGATTACAGTCACAGGAAACGCCTTTCTGCATGCTGTTGACAGGAAAAGCCATTTGCTGGCGATCATGGATCTTAGGGAAAGCCAGAATGACGATTGTGATCCATTGTTCCCATAACCAAAATATTATCTCTCAAAACTTAAAAATGGAAAAATGTTATTACAGAAGGATAAAGCTTTATAGTTTCATATAAACCACAATAATTTTTTAATATTTATTCCTTAAAATTTATTCTTTTTTTAAAAATCCCTGTTTTATGGGGACCTTGCTCTTGGGATGCTTTGTAGTTTGTGTTGGGTAAGGGCTTGTGGGTTTTTTTTCATATATGAGGAAAAGAAGATCACCAGATTTGCCTGGGATGTTCTCTTAAAATATAAAGCCTTTCAATTCTGGCCTTTTCAATCTGTAATTTGCATTTTGCGTATTCTTCTTTTGCATATATAAATGCAAATAGTGAATCATTTAGAAAAATCCATATCACAACAACAGTAGACTCCAAATCCATCCCTCAACAATATTGACGGAGGTACACAAAATGATTCTGATGGCCTTTCTTTCTCTTTGACATGTGGACATGTGTGTATCTGCATGTGGGTTTGTGCACATGAGCGCAGTGACTGTGGAAGCCAGGAGAAGCCATTTGATCCCGAGCTGGAGTTACAGGACATCGTGAACCGCCCAACGAGGGTGCTGGGAACCAAGGTCCTCTGGGAGGACAGCAAGGGCTCTTAACACTCAGCCACCTCTCCAGCCCCATGTCTATTCTTCAGCTATTTAAAGGGAACACATTTTTTTTTTTAAAGAAAATTATACTTCCTTTGACTTTTATTTCATTATGATACATGGTCGTGATGGAACCCAGGTCCTCCATATCGATAACTTTGATATTGCCCCAAAAAGGAAAATGGCCGGAAGCATACCTTGGCCCACTTCACTTTCTCTAGCAGATCACTGAGGTTTCTTCTAACGGGAACGTAGTGCTTCCAAGGCCTTAGTGCCACATAGAAATGTTCATAATACGGTGAGTCCTGCTTCAGAACCAGGCTGTCTCCCAGCATGAGGTAGGGGAACCTGTAAGCAGCCACCGTGCCATCCACATTCACCTGGTACTTGTACTAGAAGACGAAAAGCAAAGAACCTCAGAAAGCCGTGGCTCCACTTCCGCTTCCCATCAGTATTAAGTCAAGTGCAGGGGGATCGCCTTCCACTTTCCCACGTCCGCACTACAGACAGCTTTCACTACAGACAGCTTTCATTTTCTCCTTGTAGAAAGATGACAAACAGCCTCTAACGCGTCCCCAGCAGGACAGTTTGGGCCACAGGAACAAGCGCCTGTTTCAGTGACATCTGTGAAGCAGAGTCTAGACTCCGGTATCAAAGCCGGTCCTAAAACTATTGTCAACGTTCTAAATTTTAATATTCTGAAAAGTGATATTAATTATCAGTTTTCATATATATATATATATATAAAATTTCATTTATTTCTTATACTAAACCCACAAAACATAAACTAGAGTTTATATAAAACAGAGTTGACATCTTTCCAGCCTGTGAATTGGAGGAAAGATGGTTCAGTGGGTAGAGAAATTTGTTGTCAAACCAGATGACCCAAGTTCAATACCTAGGACCCACTGGTAGAGGAAGAGAACTAACTCTGGTAAGTTGTCATCGCGCGCGCGCGCGCGCGCGCACACACACACACACACACACACAGAAAGAGATAAATTAAGTGTTATAAAAACTAGTTACTCCATTAACATATATTGGATTAGTAAGTTCTGATTTCCGTTTCAAAAGCATATATCAAAGGCATGAAAAATCTGATTTAATTATACTATGAGGCCAGGTTTTTTGTTTTGTCTTTACAAGTGAGAAAACTGGAATACAGAGAAAGCTAAGAAGCTTTATTCTGAATGCAAATTCACTGCTCTTTTCACCTCGAAACCCCTGAGATGAAGCTGGTCCATTTTCTGCTACGCTGACTCCTCCCTTCCTCCCTTCCAGTCCTCTCCTTTTTCTTTTCAGTGCTGGAGATCAGACCTATCCTCTCTCATGTAACAGAAGTTCTCTGCACAGGGGTACACTCTAACATCTTAGTAATCTCTTTAAAAAATAATTTATTAAATATTAAGTACCACGTGTTTCCTAGCCAGTTAGATGTGGGTTTCACGACAGAGTGAGGGGCACACACATGTATGTACATATGTATACACCACACACACGCACACATGTACACACACATTCATATACAAACATACATGCATACCAAAATCAATATAAAAAGAAAGTAAAGAACAGGGCAGGCATGACAGGTCACCAGAGCCACTAAGAGATGAGGGGCCGCAGGCAGGACCCTCCCTCCAGCTCCACCCCCCTCCAGCTCCACCTCCCTCCAGCTCCACCTCCTATTTTGCATATATAAAAACGAACATTCTTTTCATTTACCAAAGATACTTGAGATCACTTCACATAAAAGAAACATCTTTGCAGATCATTAAATCAAAGGGAAAAGCCATAATAAATACATACAAACTTCATGCTAACTCTTACGTTAAGCATTAAATATAGTTCTAGGTTACTTGGTAACAAAATTAACAGACAAAACTGTGAGAGTTCAGTGAGTCCTCGGTCGGACAGGAGAGAGCGAAAGTGAAGTTAGCTACAAACCGAGGTGACCCGCTTGAACCCCCAGTTTCATGGACTTTGGACACAGTTTACCACTGCATAGCCATAGGAAGACTCCTACCTTAAAGAAATCAAAGAAACCCATCAACTTGGCTTTTCCAAGCTCTTTTTCTTTCTCTTGGAAAAAGAAATATCCTGTAATTCCTGCATCTAGCAGCTGCGGATTTTCTTTGGACAGCTGCACCAGCTGCAGCCTCTCCTCTCGGCTATCTCTACCTCGGAAGAAAGCTTTCTCTGTTTTATTGATCCAGGAAGGGCCTAGAAGTTTGAGGCCATAAAAAATTATGATTAAGAATCTGAAATCATAAGACAGCACAATGACCTTTAATCCACCATCTCCATTTAAAATGTTGGTACTCGCACAAACCCATTTTGTAACACAGACGCCGTTTCCAAAACACCTGGGACTGAGTCTCAGTTTGCCAGAGGTGCTTTCAGGGGCTGTCTGTCTGTCTGTTCCAGCCCCTCCCATTTACCTACCAACCACAGTTCTCACGGGCACTGCTATTCACTGTGTTCAACGTTGGGAAACAGCCCTCACGGTATCAGGCCAAACTCAGAGCAAATGGTTCTGTGACTTGGCCTACTCCCAAGGAAGGCCACAGCTCCTTCACTTCCATGTTTCACAATCACACAGGAGTTAGGCTTTTGTGCTTATTTGAGGTCAGCAGAAAACTGCACAACTAAGCAACCCAGCAGAGTTCTTAGTTCATACTTCTCCCTTTAGTTTTGTTTTATGTGTATATGCATTTCATGTATGCCTGTGCACGGTGTACATGAAGTACCCACACAAGCCAGGGGAGGGCGCCAGATCTCCTGGGACTGATGTTACAGATTGCTGTGCACCAAGTGGGTGCAGGGAATTGAACCTGGGTCCTCTGGAAGAGCAGTGCCCAAATGACACCATGATCACGACCGTCTTAGGGTTTTCAGGTTGCTCTCATTTCATCAGTAATAAGAATCACTGATGTCAGAATTAGTGACAGGTTTACCAAATAAACATATTATTTAAATATCTTTAATGTTTTGATTTAAAATTTCATGTAAGTATAACCAATACGACTTGAAAAGAAGCTTACAAATGACTGAACTCAAAGGAGACTCCATGAATACAGGCTTGGGTGTTAGTTCCCTAAACGATGTGTTTTTCATTTTCAAATTGGAATCCCAAACGTTCTCTTTTGGCCATTGAGAGTTTTCCCCTACTTTGCTGTGCTGGGAATGGAGCTTGGGCCCTTGCACAAGCTAGACATGTATTCTTCTTGGGTAGAAAGCAAGACTGATTAAGCATATACATCTATTCTTTCTGATTCCCTCCACCATTTTTATCTTTAAGATTTTCCCCATGAGAAGTAACCTTAGCTTACCTGTATTTCCCTGAACAGAGAGGAGATCATTTGTGACACCCCTCATTGCTTCAAGTATGGAATGGGTGACATCGTAGGTTGGAAGGATTATGTCTCTTGAATCCAAAGAGCCACACCAGGAAATGATAGGTATAGGGCCAGGAGTGTCATTGACCTTTCGATGCTCCAAGGGCCAATCTCCAAGGTTAATATAAAATTCTAAATCTGGGAGGGTGACCTACAAAAACAAAATCACAAACGCCAGTGTTGGGAGGCACCAAATACCCCAGTCTCTTGGCTCTGCATGTCTATGTGTAGGGGACAGGGGCCAATCTTTGGCGTTTATCCTCGAGAGCCATCTACCTTGGTTTTTGTTTGTTTATTTGTTTGCTTGTTTTATTAATTTATTTATTATTTGAGACACGGTCTCTCACTGGCCCGGACTTCTCCTAGGCGGTTAGGCTGGCTGGCCTCTGAGCCCGAGGGATCCACCTCTCTCTGTTCCCTCAGCACTGGGATTCCAAGCACCATGCTATCACGACTGGGTCTTTTACACATGTGTTCTGAGCATCAGACTTGGGTTCAAATGTTTGCACAGCAAGCCCTTTACCATGGCGCCATCTCCCCATTGGATCCCCTTAGTGCCTCTGATAGAGACGGCCACTGGAAACAGAGAGGTGACAGAGAAGAAAACCTCTGGCTGAGGGTAGTATACAGCAAGCTCACTGCCTGGGAGTCAGCTCCTTTCTCCCAGTGGTGACATTAAAACGTAATGTCACAGAAGTGGGCGTATAGAGAAGTGTGAACTCTCACCAGCTGCTATGCACTCAGTAGTCTGCAGTCAGACCCAACTTTGCCTTCCGCCATGCCCTCTTCCACCGTTGCCTCTAGACACCCCACCCCACCCCCGTTTCCATGTCCATGATTTGATCCTCCGCGGAGGTCTTCTTGCTAGGAATGCTGCCTCCGTTTCCTTCCTGGGCATTTCGACTTCACCTCCCTCTACTCGAACCTACACAGCTGTCCAAACCTCTACACCCCCATGAATGTCACGACTAGGCTGACTGGAACCTTTAGACTATGGAACAGGACCTGTTTTCCATCCTGGCATTCAGAGTCTCACTCTCATTCTCTAGCTTAGACTGAAGTCTCATAACCCTGAATGCCGGGATTACAGGCAAGAGCCACTAAGCCCACTTTAGTTTCTATCTTATGGGAAAGAGTCATCTACAAAGACATATGCATATTCCGTGACACAGTCCTGAGTCCTGAAAGCCACTCTCATGGATCTTTATAGTTTTAAAAAGGTAACTGTTGCAACAACAACAACACACACAAAAAAAATCAAATGATACTATTTTTGAAATCTGTTCATTCATTTTCATACCTTTCTTGCCAGTGACAGCAAAATTTCATCGGAGAACATTTTGAAGTCAGTGTATTTCCCCAAGGATCTCCGGTGGATGTGGTTATTGACAATTGTGTAATGAACAACGGCACCCCGCTCGTCCCCAAATCTCTTGGGGACTTCCTTCAGCATCTGCAGGAGATTGATGCTGGGGAAGGCAGCAAAATCTTGCTCGATCTGTGGTTCTGTGGCTGGACAAGACAGAGTTTCCTGCCAGGCCTGAGGGTCCTCTTCTGGGCAGTCACAGTACTCGTGATACACAGGCCCTGAGGAGGTGACACACACACACACACACACACACACACACACATACACACACAATGTTACCCCAAGTTAACAAAGAGAAGTGAACACTGAAGACAGCTTGGTCTGAAAACTACCGACAGAGGTAAAATTGTCTCAGACAAGGGAGTAGAGCAGTATTTGTGTCGGAGTCCCATGTCTGTCCCCTCTCAAGGCACGTTAGACAGACTAGACAGCACATGCTTCCTCCCATCCAGTCACTTGGATGACACATTTGCTTCTAGTGAGGTGTCAGTAATTAGAACACAACCACTTCATTTTAACACAGAGACAGAGAGCTTCCTGGTTTTTGGACACTCAAATGCAGAAGCAGTGAGGTTTTGAGAAACTGGAGGACCTCTCCCTCAAAGCCTCTAGTGCGGTCTCGGTCGGCACATCTCAGAGAAAGAGAGAGTAACTGGAAGGACCTCTCAGTATAATGCTAGGGGGGCAGCTGAACGCAGAGGACTTTCCTGAAGATGCATCTAAAAAACAATGTGTACAAATCTAACATATAATTTCAGGACGTATCCATATTTGTTTTAATGAAAAAAAATTAAAATTCCTTGAGGATTTATTCATGATCTTTGGAAATAGTCACATGTAGCCCAGTTAACCTTAACTCCTGATCCTCCTGCTTCTACCTCCCTAGTGCTGGGATTACATCATTAAGCCTGTTTTTTTTTTTTTTTTGAAGATTTCTACTTCAGACCAAGACCAATAGGAGGCACTGACTTATTCTTCCACTTGAAACTGGTGAACCAAACTTGGCACTCACAGTTTCCAGACTATGGACAGGAGGTAGTGAAGGACAGTGACTCTGGAGGATGGACACCAGCGAGGCAAGCCTCCCGGGTCGCAGGAGCTCTGCTCAAGGCAGCCCAGGAAAAGGGAAGAGGGCGTGGCAGGAGCTGGGCAGTTGCACTGAGTTGAGGAAAGCTGAGAGTGAGGGGGAACAGGGCAACCGGGCCTGGGAAGACAGAGTAGGTGAAGGGTAAGAACGGAACATGGAAAAGCCTGGAAACATGCAGGCCTTTGTGAGTGAGAAGACATCCCAGCCCCATCAGGGCATCTGTGATGCAGTCACCCAGTACAGGAAAGAACCATCCAGAACACTGGAGGGCAGTGTATACCACCCCACAGGGCTGAGAAAAGGGCCTGCACCAGCCAGGGTACAAAGCCTCTTCATTCTTGGGACTTGGGAAGAGCATGTCTCAGTCCTTGAGAATAATTAACCCAAGATTAAATGTGGCTCAATTTCATCTAACAAACTGTGAAAACTTAACTCAAAAGGATTAAATTATGTTCAGTTAACTCTGCCATATCCCAGGGATAAAACTTAGGAAAATTAAAAAGGGCATCGAGAGATAAATATATATATATGTATATGTATACACACACACATAAACATATATACACTGTAGGGGATTAATGACAACTTGACAGTGCAGGAAAAAAGATGAACAAATCAGCAATAGTAACTACACATAATGAAACAGAAAAGCATTTTTTAAAAGATTTATTTTAGGTGTGTGCTTTGTCCACATGTATGTGTGTACACTACATGCACGTCTGGTACCCCCAGAGCTCAGAAGAGGACACTGGATCCCCCGGAACTGGAGTCACGGATGACTGTGAGCTTCCCTGTGGGTTCTGGGAACTGAACCCAGATCCTCTGCAAGAGCAACCAGTGCTCTCCAAACCCAGACAATGATAATTTTCTTAAATGCCAAAATGACATAAAATTTGAGCTTCAAGGAGTGTATATCTAATGCTTACCCTGTTGAACTTGACTGCAGGGTCATTACAAGCCATTCTGAAAAGCATGCCTCCCACAGAAGTCTAGGTTCAGGTGACTAATATCACTTACCTTTCAAAATATAGGGAGACTGAGCTACGTGTTCACCACCATAAAGAACCTCCACCTTGAGGCCTTCGTGGACAGTCTCGTGCATCCTGTATCTCACCAAAAAAGTTCCATCATTTCTGTCCAGAGGTTTAGGAACATAAATTCGGGCTGACTCTTTCGGTGAAAGGGATTTTACGACTACTTTGAATTGTGTTTGACCTGGGAGCAGAAGAAATACAAAGAGCATGACCATTTCCTGACTTTCATGGCTCGTGACTAGACGGGGATCTCTGTACAGGAATTCTTTTGACCTGCAGGGTTCATGGTCAACCATGTTCAGCTCAGCCTGGAAGACCCTTGAGGCAGCAACTATACCTGACCCATCCTTAAGCCAAGGATCTGACTCAACAAGGGAGTCGTTAACTATTCAATAATGACAGTGGATGAAAAATTAGTTCATTGATGAAAGTAACATTCTGCCTATGTGGTCTTTTCTCTCTGAAAACCATTCAAGCTTAGGCAGTTAACAGTCCATACTATAAAGTTGATGGCTCTGTGGCCCTTCAACTTTCTCCCTGTAACACACGCACACACATATATATTTATGGCATATATTTCATGCCACTTAAGTATCTAGCACCCCTCATTTATGAGAAAATGTCCCTTTTTTTTATTAAATTTGTTCTTTTGACAATTTCACAGGGTACAATAATGCATGCTGGCCACTCTCACCCTCCTCCTGCTCAGATCCCCTCTCACTCTGCCTACTCCTCCCCTTTTCTACACATCTCTTTCTGACATCCATGGTTATTCACGTTGTTCTGTGCCCCAGAGTCTAGCCAGGGCTGTCTCTGTGACTACGGATTCGGAGCTACCAGTCGGAGCCTGGTGGGCTCAGCAGTGGGCATGGAGCAGGTGAGATAACTGAAGAGGACCCTCCCTCTCCCAGAACCTAACAGCAGTTTGGCAGCGAGGGACAGGGCCCCATAAGACCCCCCTATTCTGTGACTGAATAGGGTCAGGCCTGTGTGGGCCTACTGTAGGCACCACAGTTTTGGTTCATGATTGTAAAGGCTGAGTGTAGAGCAGCGGCTTTGAACCTGTGAGTTGCAACCCTTTTGGGGTCACTTTTCCCCAGGGGTCACCTAAGACCATCTGTATATCAGGTATTTATATTACGATTCATAACAGTAGCAAAATTACAGTTATGAAGTAGCGATGAAAATAATTTTATGGTTGGGGGTCAGCACAACACGAGGCACTGACTGTATTGAAGGGTCGCAGCGTGAGGAAGGTTGGGAAGCGCTCGCTGATCTGGAGGCTGGCAATTCACAGACCATTGCTTCATCTCCCGGCTCTTACACGTTCGTTTTCTACAAAGTTCCCTGAGCTCAAGAGAGTGTGAAAATTTCTCTTTCTAAACTGAATTTTCAAATGCTTTGTGTTTCTTCTAATTTGCTTTCAGAAAGGCAGTCCGAGGGGCAAGAGACATGGCTCAGCAGTTAAAAATACTAGCTTCTCTTCCTGAGGACCCAGGTTCGAGTCCCAGCACCCACATGGAGGCCACAGCTGGCTGTAACTCCAGGGGATATGATGCCTTCTTCTGGCCTCCAAAGCTAGCAGGCTAGCACAGGATTGACATACAAACATTCAGATGAAACATCCATACACATAAAATAAAAACATCTGTAAAAAGAAAAAAGAAAGATAATGTGTGCTACAGCAGACTGAAAAGCTGGGGTGACATACACCTTTAATCCAACACTCGGGAGGAAGAGGCAGGGGGATGGATCTCTGTTCATAGTGAGACCCTGATATTTTTATAGTAATCTTGCATGGCTGGGTCATTGATAGCACAAAATTAATGTGAAGATCAGTGAAAAATAACACTGATTGGGTTTGACACAGAAATAAGTACGTGTAATCTTTACAAGGGAGAAAACGAGTGAAATTCTGAATTGCTTAAAGCGGAGGGAGTATGAATTCTCACTTGCCCTGATGGCTATTATAATGGGACAGAATCCAAGAACGGCTTGAATTCTCTTCTTCATAAATTCAAATTTCTTTAAGAAAAGCTGACTGGTGGTGGCCAGGTGGCGGTGGCGCACGCCTGTAATAATCCCAGCACTTGGGAGGCAGAGGCAAGTGGATCTCTGTGAGTTCGAGGCCAGCCTGGTCTACAGAGCGAGTTCCAGGACAGGCTCCAAAACTAGAAAGAAAGAAAGAAAGAAAGAAAGAAAGGAAGGAAGGAAGGAAGGAAGGAAGGAAGGAAGGAAGGAAGGAAGGAAGGAAGGAAGGAAGGAAGGAAGGGGGAGGGAAGGAGGAAGAAAGAAAGAAAAGCTGACTGAAGGGAACGACATGACACAAAGGGAGGCAGCAAGGATCAAACCCTTACACCAGAAATTCTGAGTACTTAAATTTCAAAGAAGCCAAAAGCATTTTTTTTAAAAAATACATTTACTTATCCCCTATGATGAGCTATTCCTTGTGTTCAGGTTTGTTTATTTATTTATTTTTGTATCAACTTCTTACATAGTCAAGGCTAGCCTAGAACCCACAATTCTCCTGCTTCTGCCTCCCAGGTGCTTGGGTAATAGGCCCTCACCATCACACCAGCTCTCGAGCATTCTACCTGTTTCCTGTAAGACGGGTATGTCAGATAGATAGTTATCACCCCTGCTGTGCAGTGAGAGACCCAGCTCCAAGAAGTACTCGAGGGTCACATATCAATGAACTGCACAGCCAGGAGGCAGTCACAGCTTTCCAGCTTTTTAAGTGGAAGAGAATCTCTGGCAACGGGGACCTCGCTGCCCGCCAAGACCATTTAGGAAGTTTACCAAAGCTCTCTACAGTTACAGGGAAAGCACTGATCTTACATTAGCAACTAGAGTGTCCCAGAAGACCAAAGTGTTACGCCCTAGGACTACATAATCCTCCAAATATGTCTGACTTCTCACCATGGACACATTCCAGGATCCACTCATGCACTGCAAACATATTAAGAGGTTCTTTTTTTTTCCTCACTATGAAAATATTATGATCTACTGAGGCTGAGAGATGGCTCAGTGATTAAGAGTGCCTTCTACTCTTCCAGAGGACACATGTTCAGTTCCCAGCAAATAGGTAGTTCACAAGCTGACCTCCAGCTATGGAGGCTCCAGAGCCCCCTTCTGGCCTCTATGCACACCAGCACACAAGTGGCAAACACACACACACACACACACACACACACACATCCATATAAATATAAATAAGATAGAATCTTCGCAGAAAATTTTATTTGGGAAAAAGAATGCAAAAAGGAATTTGGGGAAAAATCCTTACTCCCTTGCTGTAACCAGGAACCTGCACGCTTGGGTTCATTTATTGATTACAAGCTTGGAGTGATACTATGTCACGTTTTAGATCTGAAACATGCCCTAAGGGCTCCTGTTCTGAACACTTGGTCCTCACACTCAGTTTTTGTACATCTGTAAGCATGTCCAGAAAACCCTCAGCCTCCAAACCCATACTCTCAAAAGTTTCCCAGACTTCCCTGGGCACACTGGCAGTTCTTCAATGTTGTACATATCCCACTGTGGTGACTGTGATGTGCCCTGATAGCTCAGTTTCTTATCCATTTTTCTCAGCTTAGTCTTAAGTTTTCTGATAGGCAGACATTACCATCCTCTCTTAACTCCAGGATTACCGAATACACAGTGATCTCCGAGTACCTTTGCACTGTGGATCAGGTAGGCCTTAGATTATTGGTCTCTTTGCTGGTAAAATAGGGTGCCTTTTAGGAGTAGCCTTAAGTTTAGACCCAAATGAACAAATCCTGACTGGCAACCACTTGAAACCAGCAGGACAAGTTCAGAGAAGCTGTCAGATGTGGGAGAGGAACCCTGCAGAGTATCAGAACAAGATCACCCCCGCGTCCCGATTCTAGTTAGTTTCACCGATTTCTGATTTCTGTGGTCTGCATTTAATAAGACAAAAGCAAGAAGAAAGGGAAAACCTTGCCTGCAAGAAGGCCCGGCACTGCAGGCCTAGTGGGAGAAGTCAGGGAGGAAGGACCATCTGCATCACGTGATCGCGCCACGGCACCTCATAGGACATCACCGGTGCCATTTACGCCAACATCGGTCCACGCGCGGGACGTGTGGCCCAGCCCTTGGAATTAGTCACCCAACGGACCTAGGTGGCGTCTCTCGCCCCCGTGGGTGTCAGGGAGGAGGAAGGGAGCCCATGGAAGGGAGGAAGGGCGACACTCACAGCGGGGATGTGGCCGTGTATGGCGCCAGGGACGCGCGGGGATGGCGACGGGCACTGACCTG